CCCCCCGCCCGGGTTTGGCCTTGTTTCCCTCATTTTAAAGGTTTTTTGCCAGAAGGAAGTTAAAAAAGGGCCCCGGGTTTCTTCAGCCCCCCCGAAATAGTGGCCCGAAATTGGACCCGGGAGTGGAGCAAATGGGGCCGGCCGGCCCCGAATTGGGGTTCTCCCCGGGGTGGGTGGGGGGTTCCCCCACATTTTCCCATTCCGGGTCCCCCCCCCGTTTTTTTTTTGTGTCAAATTTTTGAGGGGTTGGGCCGGGCCCCCCCTTTTTTTTTTTTTTTGGGAAAGGGGCCCCATGGTTTCCTAAGGGCCCCCAAAACCACCCTTGGAGGAGTAAAAATCCCCCCCCCCCCCCCCCCCCCCGGATAAATGTCCCGCAGCGGCTACTGCTGTATTGCTCCGCGGACAGAGGTGGTAATGGACGGGGAAAGGGGGGGGGCACATCTTGGTTCTTTTTTTTATCCAAGCCCACTTGGTTGGGCCTTGGCATGTAGGCTCGTCGTCGTGGATAAAATTTTGGGACCTTCGAGGGCCCGACCAAGATGACCGATGATTCGGGTACAGGTTTTTAGAATGTAGACATTACTTACGTATCTTTGTAGCGGCTCTTCGTTGCTCCACTGAGGGAAGCCTTCGCCGTGCAAGCAAGCACGATGATAACAGGAGCTGCGCTGCTACATAATCCAATTCGACCAGTGCCACCCCCCCCACGCGGGCGCGCCTGCGCCGCTCTCACCACCCTTTAATTTTGCTCATCTTCTCGCCCCGTCTCAGGTATACGGCCCGTCGCAATCGTTGGCGAGGTCGGGCCGCGGCATCGGCACTAGGCGACGATGGCGAAGGTCGACAGTGGCTATGCAAGCTGGAGGTGAGCGTGGAGCATTTGAGCGGTCCTTGTGCGTCAGGTGCAGGGACGGTCGTACGCATAAAAACGCGACACGTCAGGATTGCTGCCTACTTTCTGGTGTGCGCGAAACCGCAGTAGTATACTTCGTGGTGTGGTTTGAGCTCAACCACCGTCTCACGAAAGCGTGTCGGAGTGCCTTGAGACATGAACATTTCTGTGCTGCGTCAATGTTCCCACTGCAATGTGGAGAGCGCATATCGCGACGCCAGCAGCGCATAGATAGCTGAAGAAGGAAGTGGCAACCGCTTATCCTTGTGGTGGTCCTTCAGATCGGGTCCAACTAATTATCAGGGTTTTCACGGAGCGGTTTTTTTCCACAGAGCGGATCGGAGCGAAGCGGTTAAAACCGCTCCGTGATACTTTCCCTTGAGAAAAACCCCTCCGTGAGAATTTTGCCCTCGGATAAACCGCTCCGTGGAGCTTCCCAAAAATCCGTACAAGCCGTTTTTCCACGGAGCGGTTTGAGCTACTCCGTCACACGAGCACGGATAAAACCGCAATGCAGTCACGGGTAAAACCGCAAAAAAAGTCACGGTTTTCCCACGGAGTCACGGTATTTTTCTTTCTTTCTTTTTTTCTATTCTATTCTCTCAGCAGGAGGTATTAGGTATTAGTACTGACAAGTTTCTACGAGAGGCAAGCGAGGAATCATCTGCTGTTGTTGTACGTGTCGCAGGAATAACGTATTAGTCGAGCAGGTATTAGGTGTTAGTACTGGCAAGTTTCAACGAGAGGCAAGTGAGGAATCATCTGCTGTTGTACGTGTTGCAGGAAAGTATGAGTCGAGGAGGTATGAGGTATATTAGTACTGGCAAGTTTCAACGAGAGACAAGTGAGGAATCATCTGCTGTTTTACGTGTTGAAGGAACATAGGAGGAGTCGAGGAGGTATCGATGCGGGGAAAGGTCCCTTTTTGGCCTATTTGGGATTATCCTAGCGGCGAGGACGGATACGGTGTCACCGGCGGCCTCCAACCACAGCACACCTTGCGGAAAATCGGGTTTCGGTGTACCAAACCCAACGTTTTTCACAAAATTGCAGGTACTCCGTCGATTTTGTACGGATATCCGCGTGGTTTCGACGGGTTTTTCTGACGGAAAACCGTCCTCAAGGCCATGGTCTCGCGCGGTTTATGCTACGGAGTAAACAAAACCGCTCCGTGAAAAAAAAACGCACTACGGATAAACCACTCCGCTCCGTGACGTGACGTGAAAAAAAAAAGCTCCGCTCCGCGGGACTTTTGCCCTCGGATAAACTGCTTCGCACTGCTCCGTGACATTGTCAACTGAAGAAAACCGCTCCGCGGAGCGTTCCTACTCCGTGGGTTACCCTGCTAGTTATCGACACATGCACGCGGGTCACGTCCAATAATCGCGAAGAATGTACCCTCCACCGTACTCCTGTCTAGCTTTGAAACCGTTCCCCGTAGTTGCCGCACATATCCCCACTTACTAACCATCGAGCTTCCGGGGTTCGTATCCCTCTCGTGTTTGCGGCGTGGTTGTTGGCGGGTTTCTTCCTTGGCAACTCACGACAGTTGTCGTGCGGTCGATCCGAACCACCGATGGGGGGCGAGTATGTAGCTTAACCACGAGTCCTGCAGAAGCACCTTGACTCAATTCCCCGACGCTCACCCCAATCGCGCTTTCAGAGGGCGCTTCTCATGTCCAGTCTCGTGAGCAGAAAAGCGCACACAAACCAACGTTGTGTGTACCTGCTCCGCGAGTGCAAAGAAGTACTGGAAAAACACGCTCTCCCAAATTTTGGAACTCCCATATTTTGGAAACGTCTTTGCGGCAGAGAAGAACTTGTTCGATTGCATACGAGAAGAAGACGTTGACACGTTGAGGCGTTACGTTGAGCGAGGGGGGCCCGTGCACGTCGCGGACACCCTGGGCGATACCTCCCTGCTCGTCGCGGCATCGACGGGGAACGCAGAGGTGGTCAAGGCAAGTACCGCCATGGGTGACGTAAGATACCACCCCCCCCGCGTACTGATTTTCATAGCTCGATTTCTCCATAGCGGAAAAGACTGTCGGTGCCGAAAATAGAAATAGCGGCGTCGGAACCGTCTCATGAGCTTTCCGAAGACGTATCGTTTCGCTTTGTACACAATTCCGTCGTCGAGTAATGGAGCTGTGAAAATCGACGGAGGGTGAGTGTAGCCTATGGTATCATTGCGGTGGGGGCATCCAAGAGGAACCACGCAGCAACTGTTGCGCTAGACCGCCTGCCCCAAAACGAGAAAGAAAAAAAGAAAGGCATACGCAAACAGATAAACGACGGGTTATCTTTTCACGTTGACGGCCCGACACAAAAAGTAAACAATGACTCCGTTGCCGAAAAGTTCTTGGACCAAAGAATGATGGTAGCTTTTGGTCGGCGAGGTTGCTCGAGGTTAGGACGAGAAAAATTCCTGCTTAGGGTTGGACCCGGTCAAACCCCAACACGGTGCATTTTTGCTTGTCCAGTTTGAACGCTGTCGCACTCCAGGCAACGCACTCACCTTGCAACGCGAAGCGAACCGTACCTCCAGCGGCACTGCGGTGTATTGTTCGAGATTTGTTTTGGTCAGTGAGGCCGCGATGGCTGATTGCTGCGTACCGCAGGTTCTAGCCAATCCGTTAAGTGTTTGTGTGTGTGTAACCCCTGCTGTACCGTCGTGTTGCGCGACCGCTTCTCATCCCCCCCCCCCCACAGATCTTGTGCGGAGCCCCGGACGCGGCGGTGAACTACCCCTGCTTTCACGGGGGGGAGACTCCCCTGATGGCGGCGTGCACTCAGGGCCACTTGGCGTGAGTGTTGCTACTGCTGTGGTTTTCACGGCGGCGGCCTCGTGTAGGTCCGCACGCGTGCACACGCGTACCTTGGACATGCTATCGTCCTCTCAATACATATCCGTGTAGCTTGGTGCTCTGCTGAACTCGATGGATGCTGTGCCCTCGTGCTCTTCCTCCCCCGGCGTGCTCCCTAAACCCGGCCGAATATGTTGGTGCGGGCCTCATACGTACGGACGCGCTCGCCCTCTCTCCTGCGTGGCGCAACTGGCCTTCGCCGTGACAACGTCAGGGTGACGGAGTTCCTTGTCAAGGAGGCCGGGGCGAACGTGAACGCGACGAACCACCGAGGGGACACGGCGTTGAGCCTTGCGGCCTTCTGGGGGAGGGTGAGATGCACGCGTCTTGCGTGAAATAGCGCGGTAGAAAAGTTGTGGCATGAATTTGATTAACACCCCCGACGGTGACTGACAAAGTTTTGCGGCTTTTCAGCGGTTGAACACGGGGGCGGTGTGCGGGCGTGGTCGCTGCACGTGGAACACCTGTCTGAGAGGGACTTAGGGTTGCGAGCATAAATTTAGTGCGGAATATAGAAAGAAGGCCAAGGTAGTATTCCGGAATTCCGCATATATATGTTTGTGGTGGTCTTACCTGTTTTTTGCTCGAAACATGCATCAAACGTATGATGCATCACGGAACGGCAACAGGGCCGCGTCCACCGGCTGCACTCGTATTGGCTATTTGGCTTGGTGCCTTCCTCGGTGGAGTTTATGCTAACAGTCCCGCTTAAGAATATGCCTCGTCGCCATCTTGTCAACTCTCTCCGACGCCGGTAGAAAGTCTCACAACACCCCACGCCCCCCAACCTGCTTCCCTTTGCCTTTTCAAAGCTGGACTGCCTCAAGCTACTGCTGAGCCTCCCGGACACAGATACGGAGATCCTAAACGTGCAGGGCAAGCGGGCCGGGGAGGGCATGCAAGAGCTGATGCGGGACGAGAGCAACGACGAGGAGACCGTCAGGCTCCTCACGGAGAGCCGAGTCCGGCGGGGGATACTACGCTTGTAGCGGAGGCGACGGCGGCGGCGGCGGCGTCTCTTACAAGCGGCCGCTTGCCTGGAGCACACTTGCTTTTGTACACCTCTTCAATTCTGCCACTTCTTTGGCGCCTCTCGTGACTTCGGAGGCACAAAAGAGAGGGCGAGAGGGCTAAAATGTTCTAAGGCCGAGGAGCTATTATACCCTGGTTTACTTCCCGGTGCCCCCCCACGTGCCTTGTCGCCCATAGAGTAAGCTACAATCAGCGGCAGTAGGTTTACCTGCAGGCGGCTCAACAGCTGTTGGCACACGCTCGCCTTGTGTTGTCTCCACCTTTCGCACTGCTGTGTGTAAGAGTGGGAAGGCTTGTGCAGGAAGAGTGCACTCTCTGCCGTTGTGAAGCTCTTTCAGGCCGAGAGGTATATTTAGACGAGTAGGCCTGTCCCTGTCCTGAGGCAGCGGGCTTGGCTTGCGCCCCCACGCCCACACGCACCCGCCCACCTTCGATGCCCCCTCTTCCCATGAGTGGTTTTTGCTGTACCTGTAGGCGTACGCAATGATGTCAGGAAGTACTGTAGCCAACGGGACGAAGGGATAGGATCTCCAGGCTATCCTTGCTTGTCCGTGAGAGCGGGAGTTGGGGGTGGGGGGGGGAAGATGGCTAATTCAGAAAGGCACGAAGGGGTATACGCGGCGATATGGTCTGCACTATGGTATTTGTGCCGCCGAGGTTGGTCACCCGCAAGTGGTTTCTGGAATTTTCCGCCCTGTTCACCCTCGGATAGATTTGTTTGTTGCTTCGTGAACATTCAATGAATGTCGCGTTGTTTTCGCTGCTCTGGTCAGAAGCACATGGTGCGAGTTGATCGCCAACTGCTGGTGGTCTGTTGTTGTGTGCAGTCACGATGTACTGCGATCTGAAAATGCGGCACGTGCTGTTGTTTGAGATGCAGCCCCCGGTGCAAGAAGACGCTGGAGGGACTACATTATCCCGAATGTGTGTGTTTTCGTCCCACCTTCTCTGGCGCCAGTCTAGTTCTTTCGGTACATTTTGATTGTCGTGTTAGCCAGGACCATGCAGGAGGAAGACATCAGGTGAGCTTTTCACTTTTTGTCCCAACCTTCTCCTGCTACACGTTGCCTTTTGATGTTTGACCTAAGCACGTTACCTTCGTGCCATTCATGTCGAGTACCCTGCTGTTTTCGGTAAATCAAGATCTTCCCCTTTTTTTTTGTCCTGGCTGGGCGGGCGCCAGTCTATACACTTCGCGTTGTACGAATTACTGTGTTCAACGCACCTGCCGGTTTCACGAGGAGCACTGTCTTTCCTGAAATCTCGAATGTTCCTGCTTTTTCCTGTGGTTCTTCACTTCAATTTTGGACGCGATGAGGGTTGAGTAGTCCCTCTTGTTGTGTAACTCACGACTGCGTTGCGCTTTTCATTTCAATTGTGCGAAGTTATCGTTGTTTTCACGGATTTGACGTCGAAACCTACAATCGAACCTGGTGAAGTTGGAACAACCGTACCACCAAACGCCGCTTACTGCAGATCTGGCTGTTTCGTGTCCGAGCTCATGGTGACAAGAGTTGCTGCGGCTGACTCGTGATTCATCCTGTGTTCTGAGCCGCAAAAATATATGATCCGTCTTTGACGCTACTGAACACCATTCATTATTTGTGAGTACGGTAGGTGGCCCGCTAGTGCGGAGGTGTACCGATTCTGGTAAAAGTCAATCGATGGATACCCTGCGAATCGGGTCCTCCCTGACACAGGGAGGGGTCACCCGGTGTGTAAAGAGATTTTACCAGCACTACACAATACGTAGAAGCGGACACCTGCTGCTGCTGCACTATTCGGATATCAGAACGACTTGGTTACAGTGTGTGCGAGCCGAAAACACCGGCACTATATACCGGGCACCTGCAATATTCAACCTGCACTAGAGGTCGTATGTGTCATTTTGTAGTTCACACCACTCTTCCCCGCGATCCTACTGCTGTATCTTGCATTCGTTCAAAAAAACAAGTCCAAAGAGGTGTTTATGGTGGAACCTGCCGACAAAACGTTGTTTGGCTGCAACATATTGTCGGGCTTGGGAGCGGAAGCACCACACCCACCCGCGCTGCGTGATTTCACGCTTTCATCGTGAAGAAAGTGGTGGTGAAACCGTGGAAAGAGTTGCAAAGATCTCTGCAAGAACCACGCCCATCTACTGTACTTGACCGCACTGATTATACTGTGCTGTCAACCCTGGGAGCAAGTAAAGTGCGTTTCGCCCGGCAAAAGCCTTTCTAACACACCTCCAGCTGAAACTGAAAAGAGACAAACTGATCACAACAAACACTGAAACACTTGCAAGAGGGAAACATACCTATTTAGAGGTCGCGTAAATGTCAATGGCCACGCGAAGGACGCGAGCCCACTATCTATCACACCAGCAAGAGTGAGGTCGAGAGAACACAAGCAACGCAGCAACACAGCAACACAGCTATAGCACAGCGCAGCCGACAGCCGACGCGCCGACGCAGAAAATTTGGAAGGGTTCTAGAAACGGTTCTAGAAACGTTCTAGATACGGGTTCGGTTGTAGACGGTTCTGGAACATGAAACGGCCGGCGATGTTGACGAATTCGACACGTGTATCGTTATCGAAACGACACGTGGTTTCCGTGCTGACTTGCTGACCTTCGCGCTCAACCCCCGCCGCGCCCACCCCGCGCACAACACAACCACACCAGCGGTATCGCCTAAAGAGCACGGAGCACACAGCAAGATCACAGAGTACATTGCCCCACCTGCACAAGACAATTTACGGCAAGGTACAACAACAGCAGCCGGAGAATGACGGAAAAAGCAGCAACAGCAGCAACGCTCATCATGCTGCTCGACTCCAGCCAAGCGTTCACGTCCAGTTTCTTCTCTCCCAGCAAACTGGCGATGCATCGTAGCCCATCCTCCTCCAGCACTGCAGTCCCCACCACGACAGTCACCATGGACTGCAGTCCGTGGGACTTGGAGTGCTACGGCGTGGACCCGTTTGGGCGTGAGCGGGGCAGGGGGAGAGGCGGCAGGGGCGGCCGCGGCGGCGGCGGTGGGCGAAAAAGGGGGATGCAACGGTACCGCCCATCATTCGGTCCCATGATTTTCGCGCCCTCGGAGGGTCAGCCCAACCAACACCTTCGGGTGAGCAAACGAATCTTCGCCGCAGTCGATACCGCGGACTGCTGTTATTTAGTCGGATACCGTCCTCGTCGAAATTCGACCCTCCGCCTCAAAACGCATCTCCCGTGTATTTATCGTCGCGTCAACGTACGGTATGGTCTTGCATGTCTTAACCTGAATCCCTCCACCACCCACTGCTGTACATTGCTCACGTTCCAAGCGATATTTCCGGCACCCAATCTTGTAGAACATATTTACACCACGTTCGAGATCGACGCTTTTTTTAGCTAGCTGCCACGTGTCCGGTACCAATGCAAAACCTAATTTCTTGCAATTTTTTCAGGTCGGCGACCCCGTCATTATTCTGGAGACCGATGACCTCTACGCGCTGGCCTTTGACCTTCCGGCAGGGGTCGACCACGACGGGCTGGATGTGTCCGTCAGCGATCGTCTGCTGACGGTCAAGGCCAGCATCACCCGCGAACAGGAGGCCGATCCCTTCACCACCAGAGGTGGATGGGTCACGCGCTCCAGCCGGGTAGACTCTGTGTCTCGCTCGTTCGTGCTTCCGGAGGGCCTTGTAGAGTCTAGTGCGACTGCTTCGCTCGCGGAGAGCAAGGCTGAGGTAAGGCCCGTCACAGGTGTCCCTTTGGTTAAAAAAAAATAGGGCCGTGTGAAGGCTACGTACACGACAGGCGCGGTGTTGTGAAAGCTTGAGAGAAAGACCACTCGCCCGGACGAAGTTTGAAACAATTTTTTTTCGCTGTGCAAACAGTAGTCTTATGAGTCTTGAAGAATCATCAAAACTGAATTGCTTCAGAGACGAGATCAGCTACTTAATGACGCCATGCGATAAATTCGGCGATCACGTGGTGAAACAATCGTGGCATGGCATTGCTTATCAACTGTGTATAAACCATCCCGTTTCCGTTTAATGCAGGTGAGGTTCAACAAGGACAAGTCGGTGCGCGGTGAAGCGGCGTCCACTGCGGCGCCACCCGTCACCCCGTCCACGACCGGCACCGTCGCTTCCGCGGGGGACACGACCGCCGCCCCTGCTTCTTCGGCCGACGCCGGAAGAACGCCGCTCACTGACTCTACCGGCAGCACGCCTGCTGCTGGGCCCTCGGCTGCAGCTGCATCTTCTTCTGCATCGTCTCCCGCCGACGCCGCGTCCACTCCTGCTGCTTCTACTGAGCCCCGGCCTTCGCGCCCCGCGTCCCCGTTTGAGGCTGTGGACCAGGAGTTCCGCGAGTTCGCCAAGGCGATGTGGGGGGAGGACGTGCTCGAGCGGCTGCAGGTGCCCACGCAGGAGGAGCTGGCGGAGCAGGCCGCGATGGCCCGGGAGGCGTGGGCGAAGCGCGAGGCTGAGTTCGAGGAGAGGGCCAGGGCGGCGAAGGAGGCCAGGGCGAAGCGCGTGCTGGCGATGAGGAGGGCGACGATGGCGGCGGACATCTCGCTGTCGGAGGACGGATCGTCGTACGTTGTCAGGTACGTGGTGTTGTGCTTGCTGCAGCGGTGTATGGTATTGTTGACTTATTGACTAGGTGATGATGTATGGTTCACGTCCGCAACAACAGCAGCCGAACACATGAATTTATTCGGTGGTTTCCCTATTCCTCGGCAACAACTGTCTTCGAGAGTAATGTCACAACAAAAAACTCTTTTTCTGTAGACCAACAACAGGGAGGTGCAGAGAGGAGCCGACGTTCTGCCGTCTGCGTCGTGCGCGACGTTTCTGATGTTTTCTAGGGGAACACTTGACTCGAACTGGTGTATATTTTCTCAGGAACTACAATGCTTCATAACATGACGGCTGGAACCGTTGTGGGGCCCTGTTCTTCATGAATCTTGCACAGTATCGAATGTGCTCTCACCCTCACCACCCACCCACCCACCTCCCCCGCGCGCCAATTTTACCCCGTCTACAGGTTCGCTCTACCGGAGGGCACCACTCGCGAGGACGTCAAGCTCACGGTCAACCCTTCAAAATCTATCCGCGTCGCGGTCTCTGCTACAAGTACCGCTGCTGCAGGGGGCGGCGGCGGCGGCGGCGGCCCCGACCGCTCCGTCTACAAGGACGTGGCTCTCCCGAAGGACGCCATCCTCTCCGAAATCTCGGCAAAGTTCGAGGCCGAGCAGCACCCCGACGAAAAGGGCAACGCCGAGGAGGGGGGCGAGAAGGCGACGGCCGGTGGCGGCGGCGCTACTAAGGAGGGGGCGGTTGCGGGCGTGGAGGTAACCGTAGGCAAAGCATCTCCACCGCAGCCCAAGAACGTCGAGATCTTGTAACAAATCGCTTGGCGTATTACTTAAGTATCATGTGCGCGACGTCGGCAGGCCTATTGCTTTTGGGGGTTCGATGGGTTTCCTTTGGTTCGATTGACTTCGTCGAAGTGAAGTACGGTCGTGTTGGTGTGCAATGTGGAGGAGTTACGCCGAATAAATCACCAGAAGTCAGGTGGTATGTTCCTCTTTGTTTCGTGTTGTGGCGTTCGTGAATATCAGTGTGTGTGTGTTGGACGTTATGCTCTCCGCTACGTGTGAGTTGGTAAAACGCGAATTGTAAGAACGCGGGAGGAAAATATTTTCTGTTTCGTCTCTGTCGAAGCGGATGGGAGAAAAGGGTGCATATATATAGAGGAGTTTGGGGCTCTCAGGAAAGCATGGGTCGAAAAGGGACAGCTGCCAAGAGAAAAAAGCGGCTGGCCGTCTCCGGTGTGTTAGCAGACACCAGTCCATCTAGCACGTCTTGTAGACGACCATGGAGAAGCAGTAGAGTCTACGAGATACTTTCGAAGCATTTTTGATGTAGTGTCAGTGCGCTCGTCCCCTGGGCCTTGTGAGGTTTCATTCCATGCCGGGCGACCGGCGAAGGACACGGAGAGCATTTGCACGGCAGTTCGATCCATGCTAGAGCAGCCAAAGCACTTTGTGGTAATCGGCGTGCTATTGGATGATGATGATGTGTGCCAACAATGTTTTGGTGGGAAGCCGAAGAAGAGAAATCACGTGCTCGATGGCTTAGTTGGTATGATTAGGCTTACACGGCGTTCCGGACGGTGCTCGTGGGTGTACGTCTGTCACGCTGCCGGGCTGGTGGAAATCAATATATCATAGCCAACAGTTTCTGTTCTTCATCTGTACTTCTTTGGCATTCTCGCGGGAATGCGCAGCCCTGTCTTTTCGCATGGCACCATGCGATGTGTGCGGGGCTTTGCCACCTCGTGGGTAGCTTGCTTGCGTGCACGTTCGTTCATGGTGGCACGCATGTCCTCCCGCGCAGCGAGATCATGTCCTCGACTCCGAATCGGGACTGACTTTATTTGGATCCCTTCGGTACACACCGCTCACAACTTGGACTAGACACTGCGATCGGTTAGCTTGGACAAGATAGATCGGGAGACAGACAGCTTCTACCGCTCACTGCCTCAGGCTGGCCGATAGGAAGCCGGTGTCATCTCCAGGCAACCTTGCACAACTGGCGGGAAAAGCGCACAGCAGGAGAGGTAGAAAATACAGGCGAAGGCACATGATACAAGCAACAGAGAGCACGAGGAGAATACAGGAGGGGGTGAGGGAGGTATTAGTGTACTGTTACAGAAGAGAATAAGCAACAGCGCTACTGCGGCACCATCAATGATATCACGGCACCACCACCACCACCAACAACAACAACAACAAAACCTACAGCAAGCGCTGTCACAACCGCGAACATTATCAACCGTTCATCTTTGGCACCAACACCTCCTTTAGCGTTCTTTTTTCCCTTACCATCAGTTTTTGCTTCTCCGCGTCCAGCTCATCAAGCAAGAGCCACGGCACTCTGCTCGCTGATCTCGAGTCCGGCAGCCCCTCTCGCTCCCCACCCCCGTCCCTCGTCGCCGACGCCGCTCTCCTCCCCTCCATCGCCAGCATGTGTAACCGCCGCTGCCGCTGCCTTGCCTTGATCCTCGCCTCCTCGCCCCACTCTATCGGGACGGGAGTTCCACCGGTACCCGCAGAAGGGGGAGGACCCGGAGGTGTGGACGCCGCCGCCCCATACCTGAATATTGTGGGTTTTCGGGGGTGGTTTGTTGTTGGCCAAGCAGGGAGGGGGTATGCATTTAGAGGGGAAACGGAGGGCAGAAGGGGAGTGCAAGATATTCTCAATCGTGGTTGAATGAAAAGAGCTGTTGACGTTTATTTTTTGGGGAGTTTTGTACGGATCGATTTGGGCCGGCACGGGTGGCGGCAGAGAGAAGAGTGAAGCGGAGCTTGAGGGTGGACGCTGCGTGCTTCAATCCTCGACAAAACTTGAAAAAGCGCGCTGCCAGTATGAAGTAAGCTCCACCACTAGCCATCCCGTTCCTGAAGAACGTTCCCCGTACGGCGAAGATGGAAATCGCCGTTGCGACACTGTTGTTGTTTGTCGATTCCCTCTCTCTTCCTTACACAGACCGTTTTGCAAGGTGTTGTTGAACTTTGCACACCTTTCGGAAAACCCGGCCGCCGCGGGGCGCGAACGCTCCTTCCTGGCGACCGCCGCCGCCGCCGGCGCAGCCGCCGAAGCCGCCGAAGGGGAAGAAACCCTCGGCGACGAGCCTGCCTCTCCTCCCTGCTCCCCTTCCTCACGAACCTCTTCTTCTGGTGGCCCCCCTACCGACGTCGCGGCTGCCACCCCTCCTGCTTGAGATGGTGGTGACGGCATCAGATCGAGCGGGGGGTCTGAGGCAACCGCGGCGGTAGCAACAGGGCTTGCCACGGGCTTATTAACGGCGGCGGCGGCGGCGGCGTTTCGGCGGTCGTGATCCTTGGCGAGCAGAGGCTGGAGCCCCAATGACGTCACGATGTCCTTGGCCGGACGCATGATTTCTTCGAACTGCGCCACCTGCACGACGAGGAGGACGCGCGGCCGAAGTAGAGGGCGAAATCCCGGAGCATGGTGTGGCTTGTGGCACGGTTCGGCACCGTAAGGTCCGATGCTGTGGAACGGCGTGAGGACGAGAAAATCAACCGCCAAAGTTGCGTCGCAACACGCACACCAACCGCAAGGAACGAGTACAACACGACGGCGAGAGATGCCCCTGTGTTGGCGGTGCCGCGTCCTTCGAACCAAACCTGGTTGATGTGACTTTGTAGCTGCAACCGCGCCATGACTTGCTCGAGCGTCCCGCTCTTCGATAGGCCGTCGTTACCACCATCGCCACCTCCACTGCCGCCGTTGACACCTCCTTCGTCTCGTACGCTCCTATTCCTTCGGATGTGCTCCAGCGCTTCCTCCGGAGAGCGATCGTACGCGAACAGATCCACGGCGCCGCCCGTGGCAACCTTGTGGGAGCGGAGAGAGTGGGAAACGATCGGGGTTACAATAGTGAGCGGATGGCGAGGGTCAGGGGGTACGGGGGCGAAGAGCTATAGGCGTTCTAGATCATTATCAGAAACGACGAAACACGGATGGATCAGGTGAGGCAAACGCAACAGAATTTACTAGGTTGAAGCATTTTTTGGGCTCGACCGGCAAAGGAGGTATGTATCACCCATCCACCAATCCCAACCACTCGCCCACCCAAGCCGCCCACCGCAAGTCGTGACATGAACGAACACGGCGGTTCCACCGAAAAAAACTCCGGACATGAGTTTAACCACGGTGGCGTTCCGCGTCTTGAACCATCTCACCTCCTTTAGAACCTCCTCGGTGCGGTCTTGCGTGGCCTCCCACGGCCTGCTTCGTCGCCTGGCCTTGAGCTTATCGGGCTTTCCGGAGTGAGTCACGTGCCGCACCGCCCACTTGCGCTTCTCATCCGCCACCTGTTTTTTGTTGTTGCGTGTGATGGATCTGTTGGCTTGCGGGATGTATTAATCGTTTACTCTGCTGAAACATGTTTTCGTTCATTCGTTCGTTCGTTCGTTCGTTCGTCCGTCCGTTCGTTCGTTCGTTCGTTCGTTCGTTCGTTCGTGGTGGGTTGCTGCGTGTTCCTCGCCTACCCATGGTCGAGTCAGAACGCCATGGCGACAGCAGACAAAGCAACGAAAGACAGAGGCAGCACCCGCAGTAGCACCAAAACTTGCATCGATGCTAGCGCCTTACTTGTACGTCTTCTGCACTGGGCAGGAACAAGCAGGCAGGCCACACCCACCTTGTGTCGGTTCTGCAGGTGCTGGTCGTCGAAGCGCTTGCGGGCTTCCCTGTCGAAGATCTCCGCCATCTCCGTGTCCCTCCAGCGGGCCAGCCGCGCCGCCTGCCGCTTCCTCTCCGAGAACAACCAGTCCCGCCGCTCGACCTGTAACGATGACAGATAGGAGAGACATCATCGTTATTGTCGTCGTTGTTGTTGTTGTTGCTGTTGCTGTTGCTGTTGCTGTTGCTGTTGCTGTTGCTGTTGCTGTTGCTGTTGCTGTTGCTGTTGTTGCTGCTGCTGTTGTTGCTGCTGCTGTTGTTGTTGTTGCTGTTGTTGTTGTTATGAGAAAACCGGCTGTTAACGCAAGACCAACAGCTCTCTTCGTGTCTTACCTGCTCCTCGAGCTCTCGTGCGGGAAGGCTCGCCTCGAACACCGCCTCGAGCTTCCTCTTCGTGATCCACTCCTTGTGTTGGCCGATGTTGCTGTCCAGCTCCTCTTTCCAGCCCTGCTGCAGGGCCCGAGGGCTCAGCATCATCCTCTGCGTCTTGAGCTCTTGCTCGTTGCTCTGATTGGAGGATGGTAGGGTTGTGGGGGGAGGGCAGCAGATGGTTGGTATTGGGCGAGAAGTGGCGGTAGAGTGTTGCGTTTGTCAAGGTGAGGGGCGGGCGTGTTGGTGTTTGGCGTGCGCATGTTTTTTTGCGGTGTTTTGTTGCAGGTCTGTTGGTCGAGGGAGAGAGACTGTTCCATGAGGTCGATGTCGAACACGCTAGCTGTACCAGTCAACCGTGACCTTGTCCCTCCTGCTGCTGACATCGTTTTGATACTCGATGCATCAAAAGGCGTAGTCCCCTTGACGGCCTACGAAGGCAGCCGCGCTGAACGATTCTGACAAAGCGCGGCCCTTCACAAGACGAACGTCGGTACGTAGCACGTGCTTGACCAGTCAAATGCATCTACCTAGCGATTGGTTTGCACCCAGCAATAAGCACAAAGTATACACCTTCCGTGTAACCTCATTCGTCTGACAGCGAATTCCGCTTTACTCTTAGTGGGTGTGCCGCGGACGTCACGTAAACCCAGCCATGATATTTAGCCGTCCTTACCCCCCTGGCCGCTCCACCTGTGACGCAAAACCCAAACGCACCTCAAGCTCGAAGACTGCGGCGTGTGCCGCTGCCTCGGCCTCCGCGGCGGCCTCCAGCTTCTCCTCCAGCATCATCCTGCGACTCCTTCGCTGCTTGATCTCCATGTTCTCCCTCTCCCACTCCTCCTCCGCCGCGAGCACCCTCAAGAAGTCCCTCCTGCGCTCCATGCTGCGCGCCCAGATCAGCCCGACCATGACCTTCCTCGCCACGGTCCCCCGGAAGTTCCGCTGGATCGACCGCGCCGCCCCGTTGCGGATGCGCCGCGTGCGCCCGATCACCCTCTTCGCCACCATCACGCGCACGAGGCCCTGTATCCTGGTGGCCAAGGCGCCGAGCCAGAGGCGGTCCACCCTCGCCCGGTCGACGGATCCTCGCCAGAGGCACTGGATGCGGAGCGCCGCGAGGTCGACCTTGGTGGCGTGGGCCCTCTGGCGCCCCGCCCGCGCCCTGGCCGCCGCCTGGATCTTGGAGGCCGCTCCTTGCTCCAGGGCGAGGCGGCGCCTCCACCGGATGTTGCTCAGCATGCGACGGATGATGTTCTGCCAGGCGAGGACCATGACGCTCCGGCGGGCGTACCACTCGGCCACGAACCTGCGCGCGAGGACGCCTCGGGCCAGGGCCTGGATCTTGACGACGCCCTGCAGCTGCAGCGTCATCTGCCGGAAGCGCTTGCGGCGGAAGTAGTGCTTGTATAGCTGCTGGATGCGCGTGGCGGCGGCGCGCTCCTCTCGGTTCCGCTGGAACACCGCCTCCAGCCCCTCGCTCTTTATCGCTGGCCCCATGAAAGGGGGGCGGGCGCCGCCCAGGATCTTGCGCAGCTTGCGGTTGGCGGCTCCGTAGGCCTGGACCCCAGCGTGGTGGCGCACGTCCGCGTCCTTGACCCCCAGCGATTCTTGGGAAAGTCTCGTTTCTAGCTCGCGCAGCCGCAGACATTCGAGGTCGGTCAGCGCGTTCTTCCCTGCGGAGGACCTGAACTTGGCTGCAGCACTCCCGTAGAGATTGCCGCTGTCGTCGTCACCATCATCTGCTCCACGTCTGTCGTGGCCTTCGGCTGCCGGTGAGGACGATGACACCGCCTTTGCTCTAGAATCGGGTGGAGGAGTAGAGTTGAAGCTCGTCGGCTGCCCCATCAAGCTGATGGCGGCGAGCGCTGCGTGTGCCCCAGGGAGAACGGTGGACCCCGGGAGGCGCACGAAGTCTCGAAGGTCTCGCAAGAGCATGTCTTTCTGGTGCCGCCGGGCGTCCTCGACGAACCCCACTACCCACATGCTGTCGAGCTCGGCCGCCGCCACCATGGCGGCGTCTCTCTTGCCATCGCCGACCGGTGCCGCAACGGCTCCCAAAGAAGCACCACCGCCAAGACGAGGACCAGCGGGGACGGGTTGTAGGCCTGTCTTCGGCAGGGCTGGTTGTCCTCGGCGGGCCTCCTGTGGGCGGTTGAAGAGCTTCGGGTAAACGATTTCGTCGTAGGGAAGGTACTTGGAGGTTTGAGGGTCTCTGTTGAGGGTGAAGCTGGTGAAGAGGTCGTTCTCCGCCTCTGTTCTCTTTCGTGGTTGCCGCTTTCGCTTGTCTTTCGGCCTTGGCCTTCTGTTGCCGCTTTTGATTTGCAGTTGTTGTTGCCGCCGTTGGTGCTGCCGCTGCTGCTGCTTGCTGGGCTGCAGCACCGACATGTCGTTGTTGTTGAGAGGTGAGGTTGGAATTGGGCGAACGCCGCGCTCGCCACCTTCTCTGTCATCGAAGACATCCAGTAACGCTGGTGCTGGCAGTGGGCTTGTCCCAGGCATTACTCCACCACCGGTTAGCATGAGGGACTTCCCAGCGGTTGCCCAGTGGTCCCAATCCTCGCCATTTTCGGCGGTTGTCCCGTCACCACGGAGCCACGACGCTGCCGAATCATCCGTGCCCAACTTGCCACGCTTTATCGACAACAGTGGTGCCTTGTCGGAAGCATCACCAGTGGTACCTGCCGTCGCTACTGCTGCGGGACTTGCTACCCTAGGCAACATGTCGCCATCACCACGTCGTGCATCAGGCTTAAAGTCACAACCGAGCTCGACTTGGATCCTTTCCGGCACAAAGATCCAAACAGAGCCACGTATGTATGCCTCTCGCAGAGTACCGGCTGCGATGCCCCCCATACGGTGTCACAAGGTGTCACATGCACGCAGCCGTACACACATAGAGCGAGGCTAGTAGTGAGTGTGAGGCAGAGTGTGGGTTGATGTTCGTCTCAGCAAGATGGCAGCGCAATGCCGTACGATTCGTTGCCTCGGTTCTCTTATTCGAATCGGCGCTGTCGTTTGCACCGGCGCCGCCGGTTCAACAGCAACCTGCTCTATTATGCTCATCGCCGTTGCTGCTGCCTGCTACTGCTGCGCTCCAGCGGCGGCGTAGCAGCAGCAGTGGTAGCTCGTTCTGGCCTGCCAGGGCAGCTGTAGCAGGGTGCAGACACCGCCAGCGACACCGAGGGGCAGCGTCACAGCAGACCCGGCCGTTGGCTATGTCATCATCAGCCGGACGAAACGGAGCAGCACCGGAGAGAGGAGATGGAGCAGCGAATAGTGCGAGTGCTGCCGGCGGCGCTGTTGGTGCCGCCGATGAACCCGGCGATGCGCAATCTTCGATCGCTCAGACACAGGTAAAGGTTGCGAGCAGATGTTGGGTATTGTCGGGACGCGACGTGTTTTGCAATGCCTGGACGCGACTGTCATCAAGCAAGGTACTGCTGTAGTCCGACAGCAGACGTAGACTACATGTGTCGATGATGATCGCGCATGAAAATGAGGGATCGCAGGAGGGGCAAGAGTGGTTCAGCAATAGGGCAATCATGCCCACGGGTTATCGGATCGGCATCGATGACTGCCGCGACCTACAGGTTGCCCTCTACCATAAGCCTGCAGTTGTGTCGGCTCTGTTTGCCGCGAAACATGTGCAGCTCATACCCACAACGAAATAGTCTGAAGTACAATGTTTCGTTTCGCCGCGTCCACATTGCGCGGCAGTGGCATCAGACTACTGCTGTAATACAGCTGAACTCGACGGTCGGTGCAACGTGTTATGTATAGCAGCAGCAGCACACAGTGAGTCTGCCCCAACACAGCAGCGTCACGAGGTGCAAACAAGACAGGAAGAAAACATCGCAGCGGGCAAGATTTTGCTTCTCTAACCTTGCTGTGCTGCAAAGTACGTGTATACGCCAACCTACTGCTGTAGGGTGTCGGTCTGACGGACAGAAGGGACTGCCCGCATTGAATGTGTTTCCACGTCTAGCTAGCATATGCATATGGCATGTGCCGTAAGTACGAACCAGCCGCCGGAGGAGCATATTCATTCGCGTTCGATCTATGCATACCCGCAGTACGAAGTCTTAAACTCGTCGTGGCGAGCGCGTGTTTGTTTTTCATGTAATACACACCAAAGACGCGCGTGCCGATTGTTGTGCCAAAGGCAACGGACGAGAGATGCTAGGATATTGTTTGCATATCGCGCGAGCCCTTGTGCGTTGACACCCGCCGATCGTCACCTACCGCAAGCCACCCAGCGTACTACACCCGGAAACGATTCCACGCACCTCGCGGAACACCGCATCCCGTGATTAATTGTTTGTGGCGGCTCGACATGACATCAACGGCGATGAGTGTGCGATACAACACACCCGGCGCGGGTGACCACATGTCCGTAAAAGCCCCCAACAAGCGTTTACCAACCGCGTGTGTTATCCTGTGTGGCACCCTACGATTCCGCTCCAAAGGCTTTGCTCGCGGCTTCGTTCGTTGCGTTCGAAAACCAAGCACCGTTTCGCTCCTCCCGCGACTGAATTCCTCCGCACCCCCCCATTCATCAAGCACCACTTGGATGTCTCTTCTCCTTCCGCCGCGCGCGAATTCCTCCGCACCCCCCCCCCTCCAGGTACCCCCAAAAACCGGTGCAACGCAAACCGGCCAGGCCTCGCGCTGTCGACGCCAGCAGCACCACCACGACAGCGACTTCCTGTTCGAGCAGAAGCTGGAGAGCGTGCGCGCCGCCGTCCTGTGCGGGTCCGTCGGAGCGGCCTCGCGCCTGCTTGCGGTGGGAGCCGGGGCCTTGCTTCCCGGGGGGCTCTTGCGAGAGGCGCTGGCGGCGCCAGAGCCGGCGGGGTCGTCCCTCCTGTTCGGCCTGGCGGCGGGCTTCGCGCAGGGCGCGCTGTTCGGGCTGACGTACCGGTGAGAGGGAAAAGCAAAGGAGAATTAGCAGCAGCAGCAGCAGCAGCAGCAGCAGCAGCAGCAGCAGCAGCAGCTTATTTTTGATAGAACAACCACCCCGAGACCTCTTGCAATCTAGAGAAGCACAAGTAATTATTTTAATCATTTCTCTTCCCCGTGCAATGGGTTTTGCACCAACTCGATCCTGGCACAGCGTAGCATCGTCCTTCATGAATCAGTTATTCCACGCCACATTGTTTTTTCGCTTTGTTGGTTCCCGTCTCCTCGTCGTCCCTGCCCGAAAAGGGCAGGCATGTTGAAAGAGCACAAAATGGACACAAACAAACCGTTGTTTGTTGGAAAACATTCGAACTTCCATGTTAGGTTCGGAGTTAAGGTTGCCTGAGGAAATGCGATTCGCTCAGCTGGGGTGGTAAAACCCCTAGCCATCCAGCACAGATTGAGTCTGCCCCGTGCTGCAATGATGCGGTTACCCCGGTATTTAGCGCCCGTCTCGGACAGTGCCGCTGCTATAATACCTCACGACACCTTAACTACATGATGCCGCGGCTGACCGTTCTTCGATTCGGGCGGGCGGCATCAGTCGATACCTACCCTTTGACCTTGTGGAGCTCGTGATCCACCGTTCCGAGCAAGGGTGTCGCAGGGTGTAGCACGTATGTTGGCTGTAGGATGCGTGCGTAGCGAGAGGATGATGGGAAGGGGGGGGGGGTGTACTCATAGTTGTGCACGCCGTAGTCGTTAGACCGTTGACCTCACATCCCTACAGAGCCGGGACGGAGCACGCCGGGTTCTTACCGGACCAGGCTCTCACATCACCAAGCGCGAAGCACCGTGAGGTATTCGGCGAGTCGCATGAAGGAGGGGGGGGGGGAGGTATTACTGTACTTCTCGAGTTTAATCAGCGTTGTTGGACATATTCCCGGGAACGTAAGTATTCCAGCGACCTCAGCACGTTGTACCATTCGCCGGGGTAACACATTCCCAGCCTCACACATGGGGCACCAGTATCTTGTTTGCCGCAGCCTTTTGTCGGAAACGTGACCTTCGTTGCTGAAAAACGTCGTACGTACGACGTCACGAGCTCGTCGACATCCGTGACTACGAAAAAACAACCTTTTCTTTCATGTGTTGATGGGGTGCGTGTGCACTCCTTGTCTTCCCCTTCGCGTCTCGCCTTGCGGCTGCCTTTCGTTTGAAACACGCCGCCGGTAGGCGATACACAGATGCGTAGACGAAGATTAAGAAGGTAGGCGATGAAGACGACAAGTTCAAATGTGAATGCGGCTCCGAGTGCGAAGACCGGGTTCATTAGGAAACATAAATTAAAAACACAGGAAGACTACCCATACGAGACATGACCACAGTCGAACGGGATGTGTTGAAGTCTTTACAGTGAATGGAGGTTCATGTAGTTGCGGAATGTTCATTGGACAAGAGGGAGAGGGAAATGTACATGACTGAGCTGGGAAAAGTAGAAGGAAGATACAGGGAGATGTCTGAGGCGTGGAAAAGCCAGGAAAAGACGGTAGCTGTACTGGGGCATAGGAAGTGGGTTGAAGGCGGGAAGTGATATCGATAGGATACATAGACCAGGGAAGACGTTATTGAGCCACCTTTGGCAAAGTAGGAAGGAACGATTGGCCATCGGTGATCGATCCTGTGGGAACAATGCTCCGTCCTCTCGAAGACGCGTGGTGCGTGGTGAATGCTCTAACCGCTAAGGCATGCAAGAGTACCCCCTCCCCTCCCCGAACCCCGCCAACGCTCCTTTTTCCACGTCTCTCTCTCTTTCTCTCTCTCTCTCTCTCTCTCTCTCTCTCTCTCTCTCTCTCTCTCACACACACACACACAGATACGTCGTGCGCTCGGACCGCGAACAGTCCCCGTCGGCTACCACCGGCGAGCCACCCGTCCCGCAGATGGACGGGTTTACCGTGGGACACCTGGGGGACGGGTGCGTGGCCGCGTTCGCCCTCACCTCCGCCCTGGGCCAGAGCGAGGCGCCCCTAACCCTGGCGGCGGGGGAGTTCGTGCGCGTTTTGTGGCGGGGCGGGGGGATACTTGAAGCGCTAGCGGCGGTGCTGTTGCCCGCGGCGCCGTTCCTGCCGCGGGCGGCGGCCGACTTGTTCCTGTACTCCTCGCCCCCCCTTGCCCCTCCGACGAGCTCTCCACGAGGGCGTGATCAAGCCCCTTT